ATATATATATATATATGTTTTGGGGATCCTTTCTAGGTGTGTGACAAAGAGAGAGAGAGAGAGAGAGAGAGAGAAAAGTGTGAATAACAAAATGTTAAGTGTAAGCATGAAGAGCTGAGAAGAAGATACGTAGAGAGGAATGGAGAACCAAATAGAGAGATCAAATGTAACAACCCAATTTTCAATGGGCCGTAGGCCCAATTCGTTGCCCATAACGGGCCGTTCTGGAATAAGTTAAAGGCCCAAAATTTGAGAAGCAGAACGGGCCGTTCCGGAGGGAGAACGGGCCATTCTGCTGGGATTGGGAACGAGCCGTTCTGGTTTTGGAACGGGCCGTTCCAGTTCAAAAATTTGCGTAGATTTGAAGGGTCCAGAACGGGCGTTCCACTTTTGGAACGGGCCGTTCCGGTAGGTGAGCCTGAAATCCTCTCATTTCTACACACCTCTCATTCTCACTCTCTCTTCTCTTCTGTTCTCTCTTTCGTTCCTCTTCTTCTCTCTAAAGACCAAGAGGAACTCAGAGGATGAAGTTCTACTCCAGTTTTAGTTCCGATCCTTGTTTAAGGAAAAAGAGGAGGAGGTTCTGCCCGAGTTCCTATTTATCCAGGTACGGGGAAAAAAGGAATTATTTATATGTAGAGTTACATGAGGGAATTGAGTAGAGGAAGAACCCTAATTTTATAATTATTTTTGTTTGGAGAATTCTTGGTTTTAAGTGATTCTATATGAATTTAGGATTATGAATATATGATTTATTTGTAAAAATGATGCTCTGGGAGAGAGAGCGAAATTGTAGAAAAGTGCTTGTAAGTTAGGTTTTGGGGAAAATAAGAATATTTCTGTTTGAGAAATTGATTATCCTAGTAGATTCTGTATGTGTTGAGGATTAGAAATACATATTTAATTTGTAAGAATGATGATCTAAGAAGGAGAACGAAATTGTAGAAAAGTGCTTGTGAGTTAGGTTTTGGAATAATTGGAGATTTTATCGTTTGTATTAAAATTATATTAAATTGCTAATTTTATTGATTATTATTACATTTATGAATGTTATATTAAATTGATAATTCTATTGATTTAATATTGTATTAAACTGGGGAATTAACTGAGTTTTATATTATTGTTATAATGAGTATTCATGGTGAATTGCGTGAGGATGTGTAAACCCTTATTTTATTAGACTTATCTGTTGAGTATGTGATATGAAATTGTGTATGTGATATGAAATCGTGATATGAGATGAGATGTTGTATGGACATGATTAAGGTTGTGATTGTGATGTGTTTCCTCACACTAGTGACTAGGGATGGCACGACCCCTGGGTAAGTGGTGCTACAGGGAGGGCGTGACCCTAGTATGGTGTGGGATGAGTAAGACAGTTAACACACACCACTTATGTCGATTATGGCAGCCCTGACATAGGGTTAATTGCAAGAGATTGTATGGATTGTAATGTGATTGTGGTTCCTCACATTCATGCTTCAGGGACGAGCGTACTCCTGAGTGATCAGGGATGATACGAACCCTGGGTAGGTGATGCTTCAGGGACGAGCGTACTCCTGAATGATCAGGGATGATACGAACCCTGGGTAGGTGATGCTTCAGGGACGAGCGTACTCCTGAATGATCAGGGATGATACGAACCCTGGGTAGGTGATGCTTCAGGGACGAGCGTACTCCTGAATGATCAGGGATGATACGAACCCTGGGTAGGTGATGCTTCAGGGACGAGCGTACTCCTGAATGATTAGGGATGGCACGGCCCCTGGGTAAGTGATGCTACAGGGAGGGCGTGACCCTGGCATGGTGTGGGAGGCAATTAACCTGTATCACTTGTGTCAGATGTGGCGAGGTCTTGGCATAGTGTTAATTGTAAGATTGGTGTGAATTATGGATGTGGAAATGATATTGTTAATTGTAAGATTGACATGAATTATGAATATGGAAATGATGTTGTAAATTGTATAATTGGTGTGGATTATGATGAATTGAGATATGTATGTGAAATGAGATATGTTAAATGTGAATTGAGATGTGAGGATGATGAATGATTGATATATATATATATATATATATTATTAAATAATGAATTATGATGAGATTATATTGTGATGTGTTTGTATGTACTTTGCATATAGATATTTTCTATTCTCACCGTATAAACTGTGGATATTTTAGGTGAAGAAGATCCGGCTACGAGTGGCATCTAGAATGCCAACAGTTAAATTATGGGAATGCTCTGATAGTGTGACATCGGGGCAGAGGATTTCTAGGACAGAATATTTATGTGGATTTGGTATTGTAATAAATGATTTTAAAATTGTAAATTCTAAAATTTTACCTTTCAAGTTTTATTTTTCAGTCATTTTCTTATATTGAAGAAAGAACAGTTTTGAAGTTTTATGTGAACCCTTTTACGAACCCTTTGAAAGTTTATTCTTCTTAATTAAATTATATTATATATGTGTTGGGGTAATAAGGGTGTCACATCAAAGGATTTTTTAGAAGAGCAAAAGGTTGCTCTGTTGTAAAGATTTGATATTGTTTTTTAGATAGTGGAATATGCTTCCTCACATGGATGTAGGCCTAATTGGTTGAACCACGTAAATCTATTGTGTTCTCTTCTCTCAATCACTTTTGTTTGCTATTGTGTTTTTTCTTGTGTTTATATTTTATGTTCTTGTTGGATTTTCTCGTTTCTACATTTTTGGTTTATTCTTGCATAGGGTAAGTTCTTGTTTGTGTTTCTTTCTTGTTTTAGAACTAACAAGTGGCATCATTTGTGGAAAGAAAAAAGAAAAAGAAAAACTAAATCATGGGAACAACCAAGTACGGTATCGAGAAGTTTTCAGAGAATAATACTTTGGGTTATTGAAGATAAAGATGGAAGCTATATTGATGCAACAAGGAGTTGTAGAAGCTTTGAAGGGCGAGGCAAAAATGTTTGGATCATTATCACAAAAAGAAAAGAACGAGATGATTGATAAGGCAAGAAGTGTTATCATCTCGTGTCTTGGTGATAAAGCCCGAGGGAGGTTGCAAGAGAAAAGACAGTTATTATCATGTGGGTTAAACTAGAATCTTTATACATGACAAAGTCTTTGGCAAATCGGTTATGTTTGAAGCAACAACTTTACTCTTTCAAGATGATAGAAGCAAGATTGGTTCAAGAAAAACTTGGAGATTTTAACAAGATTTTTTATGACTTGGAAAACTCAACTCGTTATCGAAATCCTTTGAGCATGTTAAGGATGTTATTTTGTATGGCAAAGATCAAGTTATTACCTTAGATGAGGTTCATACCTAAATTCAGACTAAGGAACTTCAAAATAATCAAGAATTGAAGATAGAGGATAGTGGTGAAAGCTTGAACATCTCAAAGAAGGAGAGTGAGAAGAAAGGACCAAAAGGAAAGAATTCTACATCAAAATGAAAGAGCAACACAAAGTTTAAGCTTAGGTGTTATATCTGTCATAAGACTAGTCATTGAAAAAAAGATTGTCCTGAAAAATGAGGCATGAAATCCAGAAGCTCTGTGGATTCTTTAGATGTCCTTGTTGTTTTAGACAATTATGAAAGTGCAAGGGTGTTAGTGGCATCAACATCAAAAACGCAAAGGCACCAGGTTATGGATTATGGATGTACCTACCACATGTGTCTAGTGAAGGATTTATTTGAGACTTTGGAACTCAAAGAAAGTGGAATGGTGCTTCTTGGGAACAACAAAGCTTGCAAGGTGCAAGGTATGGGTACTATTCATTTGGGAATGTTTGATAGCTGTAAAATTCTATTGCAAGATGTGAGGTATGTCCTTGAATTAAAAGGAATCTTTTGTTGATAAGCATGTTTGATGGTTTAGGTTATTCTACTAAAATTAAACATAGCATGATGAAGATCTCTAATGGTGCCTTAATAGTTTCTAAGGGAACTAAAAGTAATGGTATGTACATTCTTGATGGTTATATTGTTACTGCTCAAGCATCTATAATGAGTCAAACTTTGTATGATAAAACAAAACTATGGCATTTAAGGCTTGGACATGTCAGTGAAAAAGGTTTAGTGAAACTAGGAAAACAAAATCTATTGAATGGTGATATATTGGATAAACTAGATTTTTGTGATCATTGCATATTAGGAAAATCTCTTAAGGTTAAGTTTGAGACTAGTATGTATGTTTCTAGTAGACCCTTTGAGTATGTTCACTTGAATCTGTGGGATCTTTCAAGGTTGATGGAGGGGGTTTCTATTTTCTCACCATGATTGATGATTTTTTAAGAAGAGTGTGGATTTTTATTTTGAAAAATAAATCTAAAACTTTTGAAAATTTTAAAGAATGACACACTCTTGTTGAAAATCAAATAGAAATCAAATTAAAAGTTTTAAGAACTGACAATGACCTAAAGTTTGTTTTAGGGTTGTTTAATAAGTTTTGCAGCAAATGGGCAATTAAAGGGCATAACCCTATAACTCATAATCCTCAACAAAATGACTAGGCTGAAAGGATGAACATGACCATTTTGGAACACGTGAGGCGTATGTTGTTGGGTGTAAGTCTACCTAAGAGTTTCTGGGGTGAAGTTGCAAATATTGTAATGTATTTGATAAACAGATGTTCATCTTTAACTTTAAATTTCAAGACACCTATTAAAAAGTGGAGTTGTAAACTAGCAACATAATATTCAAATTTGAAGGTTTTTGATACTCTGACTTTTTCTCATTTCAAGAAAGATAAACTTGAGGCTCGAGCTGTGAAGTGTATCCTCATTGGTTACCCAAAAGGTCTGAAGGATTACAAGTTGTGGAAGGTAAATCCTGTAGAGTTAAGATGCTTTATAAGCAACGATGTTACATTTGATGAAACCAAAATGGAGATGATGTGCAAAAGCCTGGAAAAAAGAAACTCATAAACAGTTAAAGAGAAAACTCAGTTTGAGATGGAGTCTCCTATCAGTGATTCTAGAAACAATATTACATCAATAGACATTGTACCAGCAAAAAAATGTATCATATGTTGTTTCCGACTATCAATTGATAAGAGATAAGATTAGGATGAATACTATACCTCCTAAGATATTTGGGTATTTAATCTTTACATCAATTCATAAGAGAAATTTAAAATTATATTATGTTACCTATAAAAAGTAAATTTAGTCACATTAATCATTATACAAAACCAAATTAAATTAATTATCTATTACAAATTGCAAAAAAAAAAAAAAACTTCTTTAAAATTTTCATTTGAAGTAATATTTGAACATTCATCATCATTATTTATTATCTTAATCTTTAATTCTTTGTTAAATGCGGTTATCGAATTTGTAACATATAGTTGGTTATATAAAAAAATTTATAGAAAAAAATAAACTTTCACATATTTTAATGATTGACCTTAACTTTTATTAGTAATTACTATAAAAAAAATATTGAAAAAAAATTGTCTAATTCAAAATTTAAAAAGAAACTTAGCATCAAGTATTAATGAAAAGTTTTGAAATAAACATCTTTAAATCAATTTTACTTCTTAATGTAACTTGTCTTTCTATAACATATAACTCTATTTTTTTTTTTTAATGATTAGTCTAGTTCCATTACATAATATAAAAAGATTGTTCTATTTTTATAATAACATAACTAGGATTTCAACTTTGAGATTCAAAATGTGAGTTGGAAGATTATATGCATTAATAATATTTAAAATTTTAGAGTGTGCAGAACATAAATTATATTAATATTTTCATTTGATGAAGAAAGAGAATCTAAATCGAGATATCTTGTATGTTCATTTGTCATCAATGAAAATGTCTAATCATTTATGATGCTGATAGTATCATTTTTCAGATACAATAATATTAACATTTTTTTTTAAATATTAAATTTATTTTGATTTTTATAATTTACTAATTTTTACAAGATACAATAATATTAGCATTTTTTTTTAATTTTAGAAATGTCTTATAGGTTGTTAGGAAGCACACAGGACAGCGTGACGTGACCTACGGTGGGGTCCACTCCATTCAGTTTAAATTTAAAGACAGGAGGGTTCCATTTCTACTGCTTCCCGAGCTCGACGCAACCCTGATTGATTGTGATCGTGATTCGTGAGCTACAAGGCAATGGTTTACGTAACTTCGTGGGACGAATTCGTCGAACGATCCGTTCAGTTGTTCCGTGCCGATCCTCATTCTGTATGTTCTTTTCTTCTCCTTCAATCTCTGCATGCTTACTTCCCCAACTCAACACAACCAATATTCTAATTCAATTACGTTCCCATTTTGTTTCTTATGCACACTGTCAAATTGTTTATCCTATTCCTATCCTCGTTTCTCACCCCTCAAATAGACGCGCTATGTCATGAAGTACAGGCATTGTGATGGCAAATTGGTACTCAAGGTCACCGATGATCATCAGGTACTAACTACTACTATTACTACTACTATTATTATTATTATTATTATTATTATTATTATTATTGTGTGTGTTAGGGTTGAATGTCTTTTTCTTACGCGTTCAATTGTTGGATATATTGAAAGCAAGTAATTCTTCATAATTGCATTCCCCTATAGAGTGTGGTTGATTTTAAGGGTAAGCAGAGAGTTTAATTCACATGCAATGTCAGACTTTTTCCAGCTTAATCATTTGTTTTATATACATGGAGGGAGAGCTTTACCACTCATAGAGGTCCTACAGGCTCGAACAGGATTGCCTCCTATGGAGGATAACTGTAGTCTAGACAAAAAAAAAAAAAAACTAAAAGCTTTTACATCTTCAATCTATTAGTAATTATGGTGAGTATGACTTTTAAGTTTGTTAGGAGGATAAAGTCAACAAACTTACCCTACATAGCAAATTAGGATTGGATGATAATGTAAAAGCTCTATGCACTGGCGGGACATACTATTTTCTCACAAGAAATAAGTAGAAGTGGTTTGAAGTTTGAACATCCCAAAATGTGGATGCACTATGCGACGTTGTTCAATAGAGCCTTAATGACCTTGCTACTTACTCTTATCAAATTGAGTTAAGGATACCCATCAATAATGTGTGTTTATGATGTAACTTTCACTTCTTTAGACTTTCAATTTATATATAATGCAGCTGAGGAATTGTGCCATCTGAATTTAGCATCTAGATTTTTGAAACAAGTAAAACAATTGCTGGAATGTTGTTGTTGATTGACGCAGTTCCTAAATTTTTGAGTAAGTTGTTAAAAATTCAGAATAACATCTGATTGCACATTGCAGAAATGCAGAAACATCTCTGGGGGATACTTTGACTTGTTCTTTGGCAAAGTAATTCCTAATAAGGATGCATGAAAGTTGAATCTTTTGTGGCATGCTAGTTTGGCCATGAGCATGGCTGATATTTTATTTCACATTATGGCACACAATACATGGAAAGTAAAACAAGAAAGCATAGTTCATCTTTTAGATGACTTACAGATTAATGCTATAGGGTCACAAGCATGTTAGTTAAAATCGTGTGTCAGATTGTAGTATTGAGCAATTCATGTTAGAGACGAACCCTATGATTCCAAAATCTAAAATGGAAAAATCAAGGGCCTTTCTCTCACCTTAGTGCTGCTCACAGTTTCTTCCACTTCCACACTGGTGGCCTTGTTTAGTCATTCCCTGCCAGTGGTGGTGTTTGTTGCTGACCTGCTGCAACTTGCAACCATGTTCTCCACTTCTCTTTTGCTCATTGCTGCTCAGTTCCTCAAGTTTTTCTCTTCTAGTTGTGTTGCTGGGTGTTTGTTGCTTTCTGTGTTTTTGTCTTCTCCCTGTTCCCTCTTGTTCCTTGCTCCCTTTTGGTGCTTTTGTGTCTTGAACTACTGAAAATGGCTTCAAAAGCTACTGGTGATGGTGATGCTTTTGGTTCAACTGCAGCTACCGTTGGCACTAATAATTCTAGTGCTGCTGGTGGTGCTAGTCCTACAACTTGTGTATTTCCTAGATTACAAAGGAGTGCTCCAGGAAGCATGGGATATCAGTTAAAGGCCCTAAAAAAGTTGAATGCAAATATTATTAGAAGGTGGTAACACGAGGTGCTTACAGTTGAAGCATCACTTAGCTCAAACAAATAAGGATGTTGAACCTTGCAAAGCTGTTAGCGATGATGTGAGGAAGGAAATGTGGGAGATAGTCAATAGTTTGCAAGCAAAACTAATCAAAAAATCAAGTTCAACTAGTATCCATAAGGGGTTTCTTGAAACTAGTGAAAAAAGAGAGCAATAAAGTGGAAGTGGTTGATGTTGGGAAGTCTCGAAATATTTTCAGAAAAAGGGGTTTGATTACCTAAGCAACAATCAATAGCTTGTATAAGAAGACTAGGAGAGGAAGTTTTTCAAGCAATTGCGAGATTTTTCTACAATAATGCCATACCATTCAATGTGGGCAGAAGTGAAGAATTCCCTATTATGTGTGAATTAATTGCTAAACATGGTCAAAGATTTAAGTCACCATCCTATCACGAGATTAGAGTAAAGTATTTGAACAAGGGAATAGAGTTGACAATAGAGATTTTGAAAGAACATAAAACTGAATGGAAGAAAGTTGGGTGCACCATAATGACTGATGAATAAACTCTAAAGTAATGGTATATTTGCAGTCTATTGATGCATTTCAAATAGGAAAAACAGCCGACAAAGTCTTTAAGATGCTGTTGAAGATATCAGTGAGGAAAATGTTGTTCAAATTTCAACCAAGAATGCAGCAGCTTAAAAAGCTACTGGGTTGATGTTGATGCAGAAAAGGAAATATATTATTGGATCCTTGTGAAGCACATTGCACTGATTTGGTTTTGCAGGACTTTGAGAAAATATCCATTCATGAGGAGACAATTCCAAAGTTTTGGAAGATTACAACTTGTATCAATTTGAGGATTTCTCTCATTTCTTTGTTGCAACACTTAATAAAAGGCAAAGATTTGGCGAGATTGGGCATTACTCCTTTTGCCACCTCTTATTTAACAATAACATTAGTGCATTTATGAACACAAGCAGGATTTTGATAAGAATGTTCATATCCAAGGAATGGAAGTCTAACAAGTTTTCTAGGACAAAGGATGGGAGATTTGTTGAGGAAGCTGTTTTGGACAAGGAGTTTCAGAAAGATATTATGACTTGTTTGAGGGCTGCATTTCTTTATATCAAAGTTCTTTGAATGGTCAACTTAGATGAGAAGCTAGCTACGGTTTTTATTTATGAGGGAGTAGACTAAGCAAAAGAGAAGATCCGGAGCACTTTCAACGGTGCAAAAAAATGTAACTATCAAGTCAACATCAGTTTAAATTGAAATTTTGTGGTCTATGTACCTATATGAAATGTCATTGATGAGAGATGGGACAAACAACTTTATTGGCCTTTGCATGTTCCAGGCTATTTCTTTAACTCTCAATTACACTATAGTCTTGGATTTAAGGCAATTCTTAAAGTTAAACGTGGACTATATGATTGTTTGACAAGGATGGGATCAATCCTAAGGGAAGATGTAAGGTTGATTTCCAACTTGATGATTTCAAGAGATGAGTTGGTCTTTTTGGTAGTCTCTTTGCTAGAATTTTAGTTGAAAAAAGAACTCCCAACAGATTGGTGGGAGTCTTATGAAGATGAATATCTTCAAAACTTTTCTATTTGGATATTAAGCTTGACATGTAATTCCTCTGGTCACTGGGTGTAAACATGGTTAGAGTGCCTTTGAAATGGTAAAGATCATAAACAAAAACAAATTATTGTCCTATTTTTAAAATTACTTAATAGCCTTCTACTTGCTCATCTTAAATCTTAATTGTATTTGTATTTACTTAGGTCCACATGAAAAGAAACTGTTTGAAGCAAAAAATAAACAAATGATGTTGTCATGCCTAATTCAAGATTGGCCAAAAACAAGTATAGGAAAGGGAAGGACCTTAAGCTAAATCTAGATAATGTTTCATCCAACATTGAGTGGATTGTGGAAAATGATGATGGAGACAATGAAGGTTTGGATGTGGGTGGATGTACCAAATGAAGATAAGGACTTGGTTTAAGACCAGAGTGCAGAGGATGTTGGTGACGTCCTAATATGGAGAATTTGGATTAAGATTATGGGCCAAATGATGATCAAATGGAGCTGACTTTTTTAATTACCACATTTTAGATGTGATAAATTAGATATCTTGACTTTAATTTGAGTGTTTGAGTGTCAAAAGCTTGATATTTTGGGTTTGAATTGTTAATTTAAGTTGTTAGTTGTTACTAGTATGAGTTATCTATGACCTTATGGACTGTTAATTTAATTTAACCAAGAGTTTTGCAGTGATTTGAAGTCTTTATTTTCTTCTTAGCTATGCTATTTTATGACTATGTATGAATTTATATGCATGCCCATAATCACACATATATTATCAATTTTGTAGGATCTTACAATATGTTATGCTCCTATAATTTACACTCTTTATTCCCCTTCTCAATCCTAAGAAGGATCCCAATTTTAACTACCTAGTCATAAGGTCATGGAAAAATTGTTAGCTGGTTTAAGTATTTTGCATGGGTTTAGCCTCTTCCAAAAGTACACCCATTTTACACTCTATAAATAACAGTTTAAAAATCTCGGTCCAAGTCATTGCATTGGTACATAAATCTACAAAGTAGCTTTTACGTGCAGGAATTGTATATTTATTACTTGAATTTTTGAAATATATAATTATGAGTTATGTGAACGTAAGGAGCAGGGATTCTGTTTACAAGGTCCCCCTTCTACCAACATCTTCAGATGATGAAAAGTAATTAAACACGAGAATGAAAATATTTTGACTGACAACTGAAGAGTGAAGACAAACTGAAGGTTTATAGGCATTTGATGCTTTATACTAAGGATGATGGCATTATGCTCTCCCTAGGAATCTCCACTAGTGAAGGAATTATTTCAGCGGCACTAGTTTACTGAAAAACTAAATATCTTTATATTCTTTTTGCCTTTGGGAACTGGTGATGGATGGAAAGTTGTCCATTATTGGTGGTTCTGACATGTTCCTTTTTTGTTGAGGTGCCAGAGGAAATAACCTTTACCAAATGGAGAATCCTCATAGGTGCCCATCATAGGCTGCACAATTCAAAACTTGTATTTGTTATAGAAGGAAGCATAATAAGTAGGCAAGATGCCATTCCTTGCATCAATGAATTTTGTCATGACTATACTTTTTGCTGAACCAGTTTTATTCTATAGAATATAATTTGTCACTTGTGTGAAGCCAATTGATGCAATGATGTGCTTAGCATATTACATGCACTTGAACAAAATCTTTTCTTCTTTCCCCATTGTTGTCACGGTCACATCTCACATACATGTTCCTAAAGTTGATTTTTATTGTTTTTGACCAGTGTCTGAAGTATAAGACAGACCAAGCACAAGAAGCCAAGAAGATGGAAAAACTGAATAATATATTCTTTACTTTGATGGCTCGGGGACCAGAAGGTATTTCTTTCGGTATGCTTTGTTGATCAGCATATATTTGGGAACTTACTTGCGGAGGGATATATTTGTATGAGAAATGAGTTTGAAATTGTTTTCCTGTAATACTAGAAAATATTGAAACCATGGGAAAGAATATTAATAAGTAGAACTTTAAAAGATGAGTGCACGTTAAGTCATCTTAGGATATGCATTAATTTTTCCTCCGAAGGTCACTGGAGTCTTTAGCATGTTAAACTGCCAACCTTTTTTAATTGTAAACTAGTGCTTCTTGGAACCATATTAAAAGTTATAACAGTTCCGTGGCATTTATTGATGATACGTTTAGGCTCTTTTGCCGCCTCATCTTGCCTACAGACATGGTTTCTCACTTTTGTTTTGTTAAAAGTAATTTGAAAATTTCTTCTAATTCTGCAGTGGATCTATCAGAAGTCACTGGGAAAGAACAAATTGGTACACAAACGTCCAAGAGAGGAAGAGGAAGGAAGCAATAACTGATGTATCTGGCTGACAAAATAGTCTTCATGAATATTAGGGAATCAGTAATGATTTGATAGTTTTTTGTTGTTTTTTTTTTTGTCCAAAATCATACGGCAATGTCTTGGTTGCAGTTACAATTTATTTTGCTATCTTAATTCTCTTTTCTCAAATATTAATCCTGGGTATGGTTTTTGCCAACAAAATTATTCACATATCCTTGGCAAATTGGCGGTACCTTTACTATTGCTTCTTGTAATTAAATATTAAGAAATACTAGCAATATACTCTTTGATCCACTCTTTTGAACACATGTTTTATTATTATTATTGATTGAAATTTATTAAAAATCATCATTTTTGTGATCCCGCATTTCATTTAACAAATCTCATGATTTTGTAATATTTTAAAAATTTTAACTAATAATAGAGTATGCGGTATAAAGAGTATTTTGATAGCACTCTTCTTAGATATTAGCTTTAGCATTGGTTTTGTGTTGCAAATGCAATTATTCTACTTAACCATCGTCTACTCTGAAATAAACGAGTGGCTTGAGTTTAACTTAGGAACTGCCTTTTTTTTTCTTCAAATATTCTCTACTTTTAATGATAATCGGCTTCCAATTTGATGGTAAAGGTCTAAAGGAGAAGCAGGATTTAGGCTTTCTACTGACTGTAAACTTCTTTTGTAGACGCCCTGGAAGCGGGGTTTGAGCCTAACAGTGGTTGGGCCTGCAGGCTCATGTTTCTTCCTAATCTTAAAGAGAAATTTCCTTAATCTTGTCGTGGGCTTCCACGTTGCATGCCATTTGGTCTGTTTCAGGCCCTCTGGGACCTGGGAGAGTGTATACTAGAAAACATTAACTAAATAATTAATTTATTGAAACATTTGTATACTAGATGTGATGGAATTTTCTTCATTGTGAAAAGCTGATTGGGATGGCTAGGCAACGATGACACTTTCCATTAGTATACATGTCAGTTTAATGTAAACCAAAATGCAGACCAAGAATTCCCTAGTGAAATGTCATCAATTGAAGCTTGCAGTTTCGGTGAACCCAATCGTAAAACGCATTACTCAAATTGATAAATTGTGGGTCATGGCATCAATCATCCCAAACAATTATATAAGTATCTCACCACAATTTCAGGTTCCAATCATGTTCGTACCTGAACAGTCCTAAGCCTGTTCCACCAGATCCCGATGTTGCGTATTTGCTTTTACATGCTTTGTTGGCCCTATCAAAAAGTTAAAGCGTTTAATCCATGTGCCATGAAAAAAGCTTGTAAACTTGTATCCTTTTTTTCCCTCCCATGAAAGATTGTAAAGATACAAAGGCAATTTGGAAAATATTCTTCAATCAAATAAAGGAAAAACAGATGGACGGAATGTTTTTTTGGTGGGTAATGAGCCAGGACAAAGTGCATAACTTTGCTTTATTTTTCTTGTGATTCGTTCCAAGGTCAGTGGGGGGCCTCATCTCCAAATTCGAGGGACTTTGGCCACTACTATGGCTATGTTTAATTATACTTTGTAATCACAGTTAGCTGATTTCAACGTAAAACTTACGTATTTTACAATTTTTTTTTTCCGTTTTGTTGAGTGTGAATCAAGAATAGGAGGAAATCTTAGTTGAATAAAAAACAAGAAGGGTGTTGTCTTTTGTTTTAGTTTTGGTTTAAAAAGTTAAATTCAACTTAACTTTCTAAATATAATCCGAACACACCGATAGTTTAGTATCAATTATCAAGCATTATTGCTCCCCTATTCCAAGGGGGTATAAGGTGTCACCCTGTGCATCATTGAAGCCTTGGTTGTTAGTGCACAAGGTAGTTCCTTGATCCTGCAACAAGAAGAATGCAGTGACATTAGAGAATCAAATTTAAGAATCAAGGCTTTTAGGATTCCTTCCAAGGGTAAAAAGTGTGAGGAAAAAGAAAATACTGGGGAGGAAGAAGCTAATTATGATTAATAGTTGAAGGAATATTAGAGATGCTCCTTCATTTTGAAAAGAATGATGATCAAGAATATGCTACTTTTGGCCACAAATAATAGAAAGAAAGGCTAATTGAGAATATGCTGCTCTACCCATGGATGATGTTGAGCAATGGGTGAATAACTCAACATGCAGTAGTGCTTAAAGGCCAAAAATATGTTACTCAGTTCAACACATGGTGAAGTATAAAAGATTTAAATCTTTCATCACTGTGCTTTTTAGAGTAAAGTTACCTTTTGGATTTTATATATCTAATTTTATCTTATTGGTTCAAAAGACTTCTGGTGTGAGGGTGTCATTGTCTATGTTTTCTTATCTTTTGATCTTTCTATTGTCAAGTTGAATTCAGTCTACGAACCCACATGTGAATGTACTTGGTAAGAAAGTTCAAAAAATAAATAAATAAATAAATGAATTAGAGAAAATAAAGTAGGAATAGAAGTTTTTTTACTTTTGTTATTTAATACATGGTAAAAGGGTGAAAAATATAATTAATTTCATCTAGTTTTTCATATATTTATTTTTCCTGAATCTATTAAGTATAAAATGAAGTGTATTTGATGTACCATTTCAGCATGTGTTCCTTCTAGTTGTATCATGTAAGAGTTGAGTATCTGAACGACAATGACAGAAGTTACTGGAGACAAATTTTCGGTTGAATTCTCCAATTTGAGGTTCTTGATGAATAAACATCTATGAAAAAACCAATAAAGAACAAAAAAAAAATCAAATATTATCCTCTCATTTATTATCTTGCTATTTTTATTTCAACAATTAAAAATTCAATCCCATAAATACTAACAAGATAAATTTGTCTCTTAAACACGTAATAAGAGATTCAATCTTTAATATGTATGTAAAGAAAAAGTGAAAAATAATTGTTGGAATATGTTAACCCTTTAAATAGATCTTAATACTTTGAAAATTAATTTTTAATCTTCAGCTAGAAGATATCTTAGTTTAAAATAATAATAATAATCCTAAAAACTGGAAGGAAATAAACATTGTTGTTGCTGAATCAGATTGCATTCTAGAAATTTAATGCGACTGTGCATAACTTTATTTGAATGAGGGGCAGTTCTTTGATTGATTGATTATAGTAGAGTTGTGGTGTTTTTTTTTTTTTCGTCCCTCGAGTATCCACCGCTGATAGCAGTGACTAATCTCCTTATTACGTTGGAGACATCTCAAATGATAAGATAACTGGCCCCAAGATTTAACGTGACTGCATACATAAGGCAAGATTCGAACTTCTGATCTTACTTAAGCGTATATCAATCCGTACTAGTGAACTATATGCTTGGGGTTAGAGTTGTGGTGTAATGTACTACGAAATCCAATTTGGTGACAAAATGTGAACTGAGGAATGGTACTCTTGTCGGGCTCAAAATGGAAGCAAAATTCAGCTTCTAATCTATTGCAACTTCTTCATTGCTTACTAGTTAGTAGAACACTGTATCGTGCAAGGGACTCTCCCATTTTGTAGCATACCATAATATGATAGAGTCAATTCAGAATTCAGATAAACCTTTGAACAAGCATATATTAATTTCTTGGAAAGGAAAGAAAAGAAATTGAGGAAGCAAAATAAAGTAAAATCTTATATAAGTTTAAGTTAATTTATATACCACAACTTTTAAATGAATTCCTTTGCCTAACTTTTTCACAATCATTTATAAACTTAACAACTCAAAATTTTTGTCTTATAAAAGCCTTACATGTGAAGTTTAACAACCGAAAACCTTCAATGAGTGCATGTTTGATCTTACGTGTCGTCAGAAAAATTCATGTCAAAAGCTACAAATTATGCAGAAACTATCATTGGTTGCTTCAATAGGAATGCATAAATGGATGATGGATGTGAAACCCAACTGTGTGTAAGCGTTATAAATGTACTTTTGCGAGTTTCAATGCACAATTCTAAATTCCAATGCAAAAATGGAAAAGGAAAAACATGTTGGTTGGTTTTAGGAGTAAAAATACTTTTGAGCTCACCCAACTAAACTCCACTTAGAAATTAATTTTTCATCTTCTATTCCATACAATTGGAAAAAGAAAAACGCCTATATATTGACTAGTTACGTTGGCTAAATTTCTTTTATTTATGGTCAAGAGGTTTTTAGACTATACCAAACGTTCTTTAACAAAATGATTCCATATATAAATTAATTACTGTTTATCTGCCGGATAGAAAAAAAATCCACGTATAAATTAATTGAAAATAAGAGAGAAGATTTAAATAATTAAAAAAAATATAGAATCTTGATGGTTGTGATTTTTATCAAAGAAAATTCAAGTGAAAATCTCACATAAGAGAATTCATCTTATTAAAAGTGAAAACATATCAAGTCAAGCTTTAACAGGTTTGAATCTAACCTACAACAAAAATATTAACGTAGAGTATTTTTTTATTTATAAAAATTATAATGATAGAAATTAACAAAATTTGAATTTAGGACTTTGTGGATTCTACTCTAACTCTCATAATAGACTAGTTTTAGTAGTTCATAGACTTGAGTTTAACTCATTTACTTATTTTAAATTTTTAAAAAAATCTTATTTAACCTGTTTAAAAGTTTGACCCAATTTATATTATGTAACCTTTTTAATACAAAACCTATAATTAAATAGGTCAATAAACACGTAGATATAAGAAGATTAATAAGATTAAGCATTAAAACTATTATTAATAATAAAATAAAATATTAATTATAACTTTATATGTAATATTATTTTATATTTTAAATAAGTTCACTCATCAGGTTGTTTTAAAGTCTTAAAGTTTGGCCTTTCAATTATAAAACTTTTTCAAAAACTTAAATTTAATATTTTAATAAACAAATAAAGTTAAGTTGCGGGTCTTTAACAAACCATTTGATTTATTTTCATTTCCGATTCTCGTTAATCACTTTTACCATCGTAGAGGAAAAGAGTAGCTACTCATATCATTGAGAAAAATGGAACTATATATCAACATCAAGACATCAAAATGTGTTTAGTGATCCATCTACACTCCATTTTAAGGAGAAAAAAATATTATGTTTTACAATATTTAGTTAAAGTATAAATACAACACTTAAAAAATATTTAAAATAATATTAACAATGTCTCTAAATATATAGAGTTAAAAAAATGAATAATTTAGTCTTATTTATTATTCTTATCATCTAAGCTTAATAATATTTGATTAATTCAAATTTGTTGTACTTTAGGCCATCTATAGAGTTTAGGAATAAAAGGGTAACACCCGTCACTAGTACAAAAGAGGTGTACTACGTCGGACATTTTCAGTTTTTTACGTCA